TGAGCCACATTCCCAGCCCTTTTTATATTTTATTTTATTTATTTAATTTTTAAATATTTATATTTTTAGTTGCAGTTGGACACAATACCTTTATTTTATTTATTTTTATGTGGTGCTGAGTATCAAACCCAGGGCCTTGCATATGCTAGGCGAGCGCTCTACCACTGAGCCACAATCCAGCCCATATATTTTATTTTTTTGCTTAGAGCCTCACTAAGTTGAGACTGGCTTCAAACTTGTAATCTCTTGCCTTAGCCTCCCAAACCACTGGGATTACAGGCATGTGCTACCATGCCCAGCTAATCACAGTGATTCCAGATGAGGAATTGATTTATATTCTGAAATGGGGTAGACTTTGATACCTAAGTTGACTTTAATTCTCATTTTTGAATATGAAATATTTATTTATATGGCTCAAATAAAGTCTGCTTTTGAAATGGCTGTCATCCAGTCTAAATGATATATTTAGAAATGTTTCTTAAGGTTTAGCTAAGTATGTGGCACTGTTAAACTTTTTACATATTATCTCTTATGTTCATAGAAAATACAGGAAAAAAAGAAACCTCAATAATTTATGTAAAAATATTGTTATTTTGGTGTATCACATTTTATCTTTGTCCACAGTGCAATTCTTGATATTTAACTTTTTTATTATAAAGTGCAATAGACAATACAAATCTATAAGAGTAAGTTTTAATGAAATATTACAAAATCAGTGTTTATAAATACCACCCCAAATTATGAAATAGAATAGTAGTACCCCAGGAACTCCTTCCCATGTAGTCTTTGTTTACTCAAGTGCCTCTTCTCTACTTGTAACTACTACCCAAACTTCTATAGCTATCATTTCTTTATTCTTTAACTTGATCCTATTAATAACCTTTAGCAACCTATTAACAACATGTAACCTATTTATCTACCCTAATTTTTCTGCTTCTAACTTATGTAAACAGAACCATATTGCAATTTTTTATTTATAACTCTGAAGAAAATGTTATGGGAGAATCATGTTCAAATTTGGAGAAACCTAGGTTCTCAGCTTAGTGCTCGCATTTTTTTTTTTTTTTAAGCTGTGCCCTCTCTGGAGTCTGTTTCATATATGAACCTCATTGGAAAATAGGAATGATTTTTGTATTACAATAGAGGAGATAATGTATGATAACTGTGAATTACTAATGTTTACGAAGCAGAGTATGGGAAATTAAGACTACTTAGTTTTAATGAGTCTTAACATGGGACATATTGAAACTTAGTATAAGGAAACTTGTTACTTTTGTGCATATTATGTGCTTTGCTGGATTGGCACAGTATGGATTTTTTTTAAAACCTTATCTCAAATGCACATGCTCTTACATCTACAAAGTATGAAACTGGAACTACTTAAAGTGTTCAAGATTTTACCTTGAAGGTGATAGATGAAGGATTTGAACCCAAGTTTATCTGCAGAGTTGTAGTATTTTCCCCGGAATAAATGAAGCATTTAGAAATATATTTGACATGTAGTAAAATCTCTGGTATTTGCTGGTTGGTATTATTCTTCCTTGCTTCCCATGCTTTCAATGGCATTAGTTCATTTCTTTTTTTCCTCCTCCTTTCCTTTCTTTTCCCTTAACAAATACCTGGACATGGAAGACTTTTCTCTATATATGGCTATATCTTTGATATGAATAAATTCAGCTCTTAAGTATAGACTTATGTTACTGGTTTTCCCCCCATAACTTTTCAACTCAAACCACTCACTCCATATATAATTTTTAAATTTTATTTTATGTTTTGACATCTTTGAGGCCTTGCTTACTGGGGAGACAATAGTGTTCCTAGGGCTAACTCCTGTTTTATTTGGTGGTGTTGGGGATTGGTAGGACAAGCTAATTCCTAGAGACAGTCAACAACTTGTCATTGAGCCTGCTTTTCATTTACAAAGCAACCAATCTTGAGTCATCTAACCCCCCTCCATTATCTCTCACATGTCAAACCAATATTCCTCTGTACTGATCATGTAGGGTCAGGTACAACTTTAGACTACCCCTATAGCCTAGAGTTCACCCACATTATACAGTAGAGACTCTGTGGTATACTTTCCCTAGTTTCTTCTGCCTCCTGACCAAACCTGGTGCTTACCTCCTGGTTTTGCTTTCATTTCTTGGTAAATGCTAATTCTTTCAATGACTTTAATCTCTCTATATTATGATTCAGTTTCCTCCATAAATTAAAATCCTGTGTATACAATTGAGAATTGATTGCTCTCTTTCTSTCTTAGACATATACACACATTCTGTTTTCCTCTTTTGTCATGTGTTCTCTTTAGTTTTACTCTTCTCTTCGCTAACTACTTCAGTTCTTAATTTCTGCTAGATTATATTATTATGGCAGTATCCAGTTTTCATGTTACTTATATGGGTTTAGGTAATTTTCTTCTGAACTGTCATCAAAATTCATGCTCTGCAAAAGAACCTTAATCTCTTACACACAATTTGACTCATGTAAATTAGTTTGTCTATGTAATGTGCAAAACTTTTGAATTTGAAACACCCCACCCCATTTTATATGCATTATTGGGAGTTATTCACTAAAATTAATAAAATAATAAAACTTATAGCTCTTATTTCCACTTATAAATGTAGGTTTACTCTACTCAAATAATGCTCTACCTTTATAGGTTTTCAATTCTCTCTGTGATGTTTAAACGTTGGCAGTATTTTTCTGTTGATTTTGGTTTCTCTTAATTCTCTTTTATTTCCAGTTATTGAGTTATCCAGGAACTACATTTGCCTGCAAGTTTCTTACACTTAATAGGCAAATTCAATATTTGATTTGTTCTTTTTACTACTCCATAGTCAGGTTTATATTGCTTAAGGTGTTTTTGCTGTTCTTATCTTAGTATCAACTATATGTCATTTTCTCTGCTGCAACAATAATTGTGTAGTGCTCTATGAAACCTTACATTTTTTGACTTGCAGTGAAAGAGTAGTGACCTCAGTTTATTCTCCCAAGTATTACGGATTTTAACATTGATGATTTTATTTTTTGTTTTAGTTGTGTTGCCTAGAAAAGACAAAATGTCTTTAAGTTTGTCAGGAATGATTATGGAAGGAATGAGCCTGTGTCCATTTAATATGTAAATTAATTTATGCAGCATATAGTATGTTCAATCTCTGATTCTTTGACATACTTAACCTGGTTGGCCCTTAGGTCTTTCTTTTCTCCTAAGATCTTAATTCTTACGTTATATTGAACTATGTCTTTCAAACTCTTTTATTGCTACATGTTTTGGCCAAATATACCTCTTCTGGTAGTGAAAGTTAATACCTTTTGGCTTATCTGTACGCTCTCTACCTTCTGTTGTCAGCTTGGTGATTTGAAACTTTTCTGTATTTTTAATACCTTATTTCTGAGTTCATTGCTTACTTTCAAGTGCCTATTTTCCTATCTTGTTATCTGTCAAAACTCTTGGTATAAGGGCAAAAAAGTAAGTTTCAAGGTCAAGATGTCTTTTAATCCTGACTTTATATTTCAGTAGTTCTTACCTAGAGCAAGTTAACTTCTGAAGCATTTGTTTTCTTTCTTTTTTTTAATATTATTTTTTTAGTTGTAGTTGGACACAATATCTTTAATTTATTTATTTTTAATGTAGTGCTGGGGATCAAACCCAGGACCTCACCCGTGCTAGGCGAACTCTCTACCACTGAGCTACCACCCCAGCCCCGCATTTGTTTTCTTATAAAATAGGAATCATTGTTTGTTAGGCTTAGACAAACCTAAGTAAGAAACCTTGCATATTATGTAGCATATGGGTATTTAATTTTTAGTATATACTTTCCTCCCCAAGCTATATACTGTCTGTCAGAATTATATTAAACACCCTAAGTGGTCTCTTCTACCTTCTAAGGAAGCTTGATGAGATGATAATCATGTATTGACTTCAGGTTTTCTTTTTAAAGGGTTTTTAAAGAAAGAAAAAAGTCAAGGTTGAAGAGATCCTTTTGTTATTGTCCTGAAAGAACCTTAGCCTACCAATGTTCTCAGTTGTTTTAGGAGAGAATTTTTTTAAAAACCTGTTTCCATTCTTTGACTCAATTCCCTGGTATACCAACCTGAGAATTGTTTAACACTGTTTTTTAATACTGTTTTCCTTTTATCAGATGACATGGTTTAGTTCTGGTTCATACACTTTCATACATGGACTTGATTGTGTCCATTTTGTGTCTTTTTYCCCGTTTTGTATCTTAAAAATCTGTCTTTACATTTTTATCTTTACTTTTTTCCAGTGATAAATAAATGTATTTTCCTAGTGAGTTACTAACTAGTATTGGAACTTTGCCAATTTTATACTGTAGATGGGTTCATTAGATGTTTCACTGTGTTCTTATGCATAATTTTCTCATTGTAAAGTTTTATGTTCTATTAATATTTTACTGTGTTCTGGCTGGACTGGCTATTAAGTTATCTTTATGATTATAGAAATTAATGGAATAAATTAGTAACAGTCATAATAGTTTAAACCCTGGCTTTTCATTAGTGGTATTCTTATTCAACAACTTGCAAGATTGACTCTTGGGTATATAAAAATTGCATTTGCAGCTGGGCCTGGTGACATACCTCTGTAATCCCAGCTACTGATGAAACTGAGGAAGAAGAATCACAAGTTTGCAACTAGCCTGTGCAACTTAGAATGCTTGCCTAACATGTGCAAGGTCCTAGGTTAAAGCCCCAGTATCACCAAAAAAAAAAAAAAAAAAAAAAATTTATAGTATAGAATAGGTTTTGAGTAATTAAAACACCTATTTCACTGAAGGAAATTAGGAGGAAAGTTAACTTTCATATTTCACCAAGTTTGAGATAGTATAATCTGGAAAGATTAGTTTTGAACTAATCACTGAAAACATCAGTGGCTGCAAATACTGTATACCATGATAACTCTGAAATACTTGAGTTATATTAATATTTTTGCAGCAATAAATGAAATTAAGCTTCATTAACTAATTTTAAACTTTTTTTAGGTAAATGAATTGGTGGATGCCAGAGATGTCGGCCTTGGTGCTTGGTTTGAAGCACATATACATAGTGTTACTAGAGCTTCTGATGGACATTCACGTGGCAAAACTCCACTGAAGAATGGCAGTTCTTATAAAAGGACTAATGGAAATGTTAATCATAATTCCAAAGAGAACACAATTAAATTGGACAATGTACCTTCTACATCTAATTCAGACTCTGTTGCTGCTGATGAAGACGTTATTTATCATATCGAGTATGATGAGTAAGTGCTCATGCTATTGAGGACTTCGTGAAAATTCATGTTTTTGTTTATAGAAGCACAGCCTTGCATTCCAAGGTTATTTTAGTCATTCTGAAGAAATCATTTAGAAGTCATGTTCAATCTATTTATTACTTTTGTTCTATTTGGTGATTGTTAACTAATGAACAAGGGTCCTTTAACTCTTGGTCGTCTCTGGCTCTTAAGTGGTTTGTCTTTTCTGGCTTAATTTAGGATGCACAGATTTCTGTTTGCCTTCATTAGGTTTTTGATATATACTTTAAGAGTATTTTAGAAAGTGTTTTATAACATAGTGTAGAAGCCATTAGAGTAAAGTAACAATTTTTTTACTTAGATAATTTACACATAGTCTACCCAATTGAAGGGTAATCATCAATGTTTTTAGCACATTCATAGGACTATGCATTATCACAAACTAATTTTAGAACTTTTTTGTTGCCCCCCCTAAAATAAATCCTGTACCCATTAGCAATCATTGCCCAATATCCCCCACCCCAGACAAAATATGTTCTGAAATGTGCAGATGGAGATGAGATTAAGAACTTGGCTGTTAGAGCCTAGATTCTAACACTAAATTTTCTTTATCCCTTTTGAAAATTGTAATACAAAAGTTATTGTTGGGATAGATTTGAATATTTATTAAACATACAAAATGAACTTAAGTTACCACTCAAATAATATCTTAATATGTATGGAAAATATTATATTAGCAAATTCTTGTCATGTAAGAGTTCGAAATCCTAGGATGATTGTAAATTTTTTTACCTTAAAGATGGTATAAAAAATCGAGGCATGGTGGTGCACACCTGTAATCCCAGCAGCTCAGGAGGCTGAGGCAGAAGGATTGTGAGTTCAAAGCCAGCCTCAGCAAAAGTAAGGCAGTAAGCAACTCAGGGAGACCCTGCCTCTGAATAAAATACAAATTAGGGCTGGGAATGTGGCTCAGTGGTTGAATGCCCCCCGAATTCAATCCCTGGTACCAATCTCCCCTCTAAAAAAAAGATTGTATAAAAAGACTTTGGTGTCAGATTTTTAAATAGGGTCAAAAGAAGACCCATTCAATCTTTATTTACTTTTCTGATACTTTTTGTTGTGGTAGTTAACCTGCCAACACTGCTTACTTCAAATGAGCCATCATTCTACTTTTTTCATAGTAAATGGTAATAGAACCAACAATGAGAGTGAGTATTAAGATATGGGATTGGCCAAACTAGCAATATTGGTGAATCAGGGCTGGTATAGAAATTGGTTAGAGTCTGTGTGTTGATAATAAGCAGTCTCTGGATTTACCAGTCTCTGGATTTTACTTGAGTGGTAGGAGACTTTAGCTCTCTGTACTTGGGTGGTAGGAGACTTTAGCTCTCTGTACTATCTATATTCAATAAGTAGAATGTTTTTAAGTGTTTTGATTTTTTTATCTCTAAGTGAATTGGAGAATAACTAGGAAAACTGATACATGGGACTTCATTCTGACCAATAAAAAGAATTATTTAAAAATTTATGCAGAATGGCATAACACAGAAACAGGGTAAGAAGCTTTTAACACTGAGTGAACCAAGGCTTTTTAAATTTTATAGTTTTAGAGGCTCTTAAAGATTTTTTTTAATAAAGATTATCTAAGGGATAGGTCCAGTGCTTAAGTTTGGTGTGGTATGAGAGCACAAACCATTGTTACTTGGTGTTTATTTGGCTATTTTTTTTTAATGGAGAAATTTGTCTTGATAAGAAGGATTGATAGTAAAAGGAAGTCTAAATCCAACACACATAAAACTAAAATTATCTTCCCTAAGTAATTTTACATGATAGAATTAAATATTTCATTGTTGGCATCTTAAAGATATAATAGCTGAACTCTCTTTGAGAAATAAAAGAAAACAGAAGCACAGTGATAGGTAAATATAAATTACACCTTTAAAAAGAGAAAAAAGATATATAAAATACAGTATACAATATATGCAATACAAGAGTATTTGGATAAAAATTAAGGATAAGTAAGTGCTGGTGTAAGCATCTAGAAAGAGCCATTGTCTGATAGGATGTGACAGTCTTTTAAAGTTTCATTTTTTTATAGTATTAGAAAAATGAATTTTAAAATTTAATGAAATATATGGTGATTTCAATAAGTTATAGAGTATGTTCTTTTTAGATGGTAGGTAGATACATTGCAGAGAGCTGGTGAAGTATATGGCCCATTACTAGTAATAAACAGATTTTTTAAAGTATTCATCCCCCTGCCTCCCAGTACTGGGAATTAAACCGAAGGATGCTTTACCATTGAGCTACATCCCCAGCCCTTTTAAAAATATTTATTGTGAGACAGGGTCTAGCCAAATGTCCCAGGCTGATGTTGAACTTGTGGTTCTCTTGCCGTAGCCTCCTGGGATTACAGGTGTATGTCACTCTACCAGACTGGATTGCTCAAGTTGGCCCTAAACTCTGGGCTCAAGCAATCCTGTCTCAACCTTCCAAATATATTGGACTACAGGCCTGTACCACTGTCCAACTGTAATAATTAGATTTTTATTGAATATTATGCTCCAAGTGAGTCAATAGAATTAGGAGATGCTGTGGTTGTACTGAATTGCCTATTCCCTGTCTGCAGTATTGCCCTCTAGCTCCCATATTTTAAAGCCAATATCAATAAAACCTGGTGCATGGTCAGAATAGAACTAAAAATGTAAACATGTAAAACCATAATGAAAAATAATTGTAAACTAAATATTTAACTTGAAAGACTTTGAGTCATGATAGCCCTTACATTTTATTCATTTATTTATTTTTGGTACTGGGTTGAACCTAGGGGTGCTTTACCACTGAACTATATCCCTATTCCTTTTTAAAAATTTTTTTAAAATTTTGAGATAGGGCTGGGGTTGTATAGCTCAGTGGTAGAGTGCTTGCCTCACATGTGGAAGGCACTGGGTTTGATTCTCAGCACCACATAAAAATAAAATAAAGATATTGTGTCTATCTACAACTAAAAAAATATTTTAAACAATTTTTTTTTGAGACAGTGTTTCACTAAGTTGCTGAGACTGATGCTGATCTTGCGATCCTCCTGCCTCAGCCTCTTGAACTGCTGGTACTAAAGGCATGTACCACCATGCCCAGCTAGCTTTTGTATTTTAAAAGTTTTATCTAGAAGGAAGTTTTGTCTACACAGCTAAGTTTCAGAAAACCTAAACTTCTAACAGTCAAACTTTTAAAGGTAGAGAATGGTTTGCCTTGAGATGTAGCTGATGAAAAGCCATTGGCCATCTTCAGACATAGACTGGGATACTCAGTAGAGATGATACATTGCTAAGGGAATTTATAAAGTTACTAATTCTATTAGTCAGCAGTAGGAATATTTTGACTCCAGAGACGAAGATTTGAAGGAATTCTTAAGTTGTTTTTAAAAGTACCTGGTTAGTAGGCATACACAACTTGGCTATGAGGAAAGCTACTTCCCTTTTCCACCTATCAAAGCCTTAATTACCAGGGAGAGGCTATGCCTAAATAAAAACTCTTTTAGAGATACTTGTACAGAAAACATATATCTTTATAGTATAACTTACTTCCAGCATTTCTCAAAGTCACTTTTTTGTTATTGGTACTTAAACAAAATAGGCATTAAGTACTTATAGGCCATCATCTTATTCCATTTATGATACTACCACGTTCCCCAATGAACTAACTTCATCTTCCTCCTGCTGGAATAAGTTGAAAGCTATCTGCTTATTAGGAAAAATCTCTGCATAATCATATCTTCGAACCTCTGACTGCAGCAGTGTACAAGCTGTCATTTAGCAAAGGTAAGGAAAGTATCATATATTGGATTAAGGAACCCATCTCTGGAATTCTTAGAGAGAATGCATTGTTTGTTAGTTTAAAATGGAACTATTTAAAGGCATTTTTTAAATTTTATTTTGAATTGGGGGTCTTACTATGTTGCTGGGGCAGTCTTAAACTCCTGGGCTCAGGTGATCCTCTCACGTTGGCTTCCTAAGTACAAGGATTATAGGTGCATGCCATCATGCCAGAATCAAAAGCTATTTTTAAAATAGACTACAGATCTAGTATATTATCAGACCAGATGAATTCTTAGTCATTAAAATGAACTTCATTAAAATTGCTTGCAGAATCAGATCAGGATAAATGAGTATTTGGTTGTATTTTCAATTCCCACTTCACTCAGTAGATTTAGAAAACAATTTTTAGTCTATGAAGAAAAATAAACATTGTACACCTATTATGTTTGTTATGTAGAGTGGTTTCAAAATACTCAAAGAATTGGATATTCATTGTTCTAACATGGCAATGAAATCACTTGTTCCTAATCTGCATTTTTCCTCTCAAAATTATAGATGTATACACTTTAAGTTCATGAAAAGCAGGTTATGTTAAGCAGATTTGAAATGTTTTAAAATTTTACTTTTAGTAAATGTCTCTTTTCTATAGGCTCCTTGGTGGGGTATAGGCTGAAGAATATATAGTTACACTGTCAATTCTATGATTAACATCTTACTGTAGATAATGTAAACAAGCATGGGGTAAATATCAAAGGGCCCGGTACAAAGTAGATATTTGCGCGTGTTTTGTTTTCCCCTTGATTGCTGTTACACCTGCCATCACCCGTGTTTTATAAGGACTCAACCAACCTAGTTCATACTTGAAGAGAAAGTCAGCTGTAGGAATATTTCAACTCCAGAGATGAAGATTCAAAGGAATTCTTAAGTTGTTTTTAAAAGCACCTGGTTAGTAGGCATACACAACTTGGCTATGAGGAGAGCTACTTCCCTTTTCCACCTACAAAACCTTAATTACCAGGGAGAGGCTATGCCTAATAAAAACTCTTTTAGAGATACTTGTACTGAAAACAAAAGGGAAGAGGTTTAAGAAATGGGCAAATCTCAAGGTAAACAGGCCATTATAAGTCATTAACTGGTCAATTAAAAAAATGGGAGAGAACATCAAATTTTTCTTTATTTTGGTAAACTTGT